AAAAATCACACGAAGTACTACCATGACATTCACATGTTGAGTACTACTACGCACCCCGTAGCAGTGATTGGCCAAGCAGTGTAGCTTGATCATCTGCAGCCAGTGATGGCCAGAAGGGGGCGTGTCATCACCAATTTACACAATAATTTGGGTGTGCCTGGACCTCTGCGACCTCTGCGGTGGAGGCTCTGCCGAACCCCTGAGATCAACTCACCGAACCCAGGTTAAGAACCGCTGGTTTAAATTATGCATAGTAGTTTCAGCTGTTTTTATTCTTTTGTCTCCATCTAGTGGATGAGCAGTAGAATCATCTTTTTTTGAGGCTTCCCTCACTCTATCAGAGAGGAGTTATTTGTGTGGAAGAGTCCAGATTTTTCATCAATTCAAAATATCAACAAGACAAGACAAAAGTTAGAGGGGTATGAAAATCCAGAGCTTGGGTTGTTGCAGTTCAATTTAATGTTATATATAAAGCACCAAATCACAACAACAATCACTTCAAGACACTTTATGTTGCAAGGTAACGGCCCTAAAATAATGCAGAGAAACACCAACAATCAAACAGCACCCAATGAGCAGGCATTTGGTGACAGTGGGAAGGAAACAATATTTTTTAACAGGAAGAACCTCTGGTGGAAGCAAGGGAGGACTAATGAGATCAATATGCAACCAAAGACACAACTAGTTCTTCTTCTATTTGTAATATGTAGCAGTATGAACAATTTTGTCATTCTCTCTTTAGTTGTAGTCTCAAAAGTGATATGATCTTTCTCCATGATCAGCATAATTTGGCAGATGAAATGAAAGGAGATTCCCATTCCTTAATTTCCATGAAATCAAGTTCACTGAAAATTCTTTGAATCTTTTCTGTAAGTAAAACCAGCCTATGTTTGCCTAATCGCACAGACACATTCCACTTTGTAAATGACTTTAAATATTTTTTTAATCATTTTGAAATTCTAAACAGAAGGTTGTAGCTAAGTTACAGCTTACTAACTGCTTCTTGGCTACTGCTATAGAAAGCGATCATTAGTTACTTTTTCTTTGTCCTATTAAATGATTTATTGTTGGCTAAGCATACCAAGTAGAACACATCTAATAAATTAATTAAAGTATCCTTGATTTTTGTTGGTTAGTATTGATAATAGATTTGTTTCTGGTCTTGCAGCTGAAGCAGCAACAAGCACAAGATAATGATTGTTTTTCCTATTGATTCTAAGTGTGACTGGTTGTTGGCCAAGATCTTTGTAAACCTGCTGCCTGCCAAACCTCAGGCAGCACCTCAGGCAGCACCTGTGTGAACCAAACAGGTATACAGAAACATTGAAACTATTTAAACAATGTTCCATTGTTCCATTATTTCTTTATTGCAGTATGACCTTGGTGGCTACAAAAGTTACTACCAGCTTAAGACTACCAAAAAGAGGACAGCGAGTTAAAAAAACTAAACCTTTTTCATTTCATTTACATTTCTTTAATCATCAAAATTTAAAAATTAAAAAAACCTTCACACATTTATTTATCCGTTTTCTGAATTAAGTAGCGAGTGATGTGATGTCTGCCTTTTATATCACGTTGTTTAAACATTAACACATACTGTATACATTATAGTTTTGTTGCTCTTTCTTTGATAAAACTCGGTTTTGGTAAACAATTTTAACTTTATTTTAAACAAAGTGATTCAGACCACTGTTTTTTTTCTCAAGAGTGAGTTTTACAATAAATAAAGTCCCAGAATGAGGATTAGACAGTTTTAACTTAGATAGAAAAAGACTAGTTGTCATTGTAATGGTGCATGAACACACAAAGTGAATCCACCTTAAAGATGCAGATAATAAACTCAGGTGTTCATTAGCTCAGCAACCCTGCTGAGGTTTCATTTCCCATGCGCAGTGCCTTTATTTTCATAAGCACATGGAGGAAAAAGCATGGCAGCGACAGGGAATGAGAAGGGCGAAAGCGGATTGTTGAATGAAACAGATGAACCAGAATTGGTTTGTAAAAATGCTGCAACTTAAGTGGTGTGGAACTGGCTTGGATTTTCTCCGACAGATACACACCAAAGCACAATTTTTGGTAGAGCATGCTAGCGGGTCGTCATTATTACCGTGTTTATTGGAAAATAAGGCACACTTAAAATCAATCCTTTGATTTTCTGAAAAATTGACAGTGCCCCTTATAATCCGGTGCGCCTTATGTATGAATTCTGGTTGTGTTTACTGACCTCAAAATTATTTTATGTGGTACACGGGACTCAAAAATCTGTCAAAATTGTTTTAGTACAACTTTTGTAAACCCACACGGCTTGATAGATTGTCAGAGCATTACGGCTATCGTAGGCAGGAGCCTCGCGGAGTAATACGTACTGTGCTTCAACATAATATTACAGTATTGTGTGTGTATAACCTCTTTTAAGTTTTGAGGATATTATATATGGTTATGCTGAGGATATGTCGGCCAATTTGCACTGGAAATGTCTTTTGGTTAAACTGTCAGCAAGGAATTTGCATTTGCACTGTTAAATTTTTATATAACTTTAATGCACATAAAAGAAACAGCTGCTTGTTTAAATTAAAATACATTTATGGGTTGTTTATTTTTGCACTGATAAAGTTGAGGGGTTGTAAAGTATTTTGTTTCGCATCAATTATATC